AGTGTCTGAAGTTTATAGCAACAGCCACCTTTTATGAAGGACGGAACGGTACGGGAGGGGGTGGGTGGCCAGCACCACACCCGGCCGCCTTTGTCTCCCCAGTGGCTATGTTTACATACTCATTTGAGGATTAATCTACCTAAGGGAGGCCCGGGACCGCTTCAAATATTCGTCGCTGGTGTTGGCACACGAGCCTCATGCCACTCTCCCCAACACGGAGCACACCACCTCAACCATCACAACCTCTCACCACAACACCAACCCTAAACCCGACATCACCACCACGGCACCTCCACCAACCCCACCACTCCGCACTCCTCAAACCGAACCGCGTCCGCCCTGACCGCAGTTCGCCTGCACAGTGCACACGCGACGCCGGCCTTGGTCAATGCAAGGCCCGCAGGCCACTAGCGGCCCCTGGTGGCTTCAGTGCGACCCCCCCCCCCCCCCCCACGTGTGGCACCCGACAATCCGCAAACAGCGAATGGACCACCATCGTCATCTTCACCATCGTCATCATCATCGTTCTGCTGTCAAACCCAAGTGGTTTCAAATGTCCTCCTGTCGGCGAAAGTGACCCCCCCCCCCCATCTGACAATGAGAACAGTTCGCGATGCGGCTCTTCTCTCCTTGCTCGTTACGACGACAGCAGCAGTAGCGGCGCTCTGGCTCAAGAGCTATCGATGCCTGCTGCTCGCCACGACCAGAGGGTTTCAGCAGAGAGAGAGAGTTCGCGGACTCTTGCTGTTCCTCCGCCTCCGTTGAAGGAGTCCAGACCACAGTGGGATTACTTTTTGGCACAAAGACTAACATTGAACATAGACTTAGCGTCGCCCGTAGAGTAAAATTGTCCATAGACTAGAATTGCTCATAGACTAACATTGCCCATAGACTCACATTGCCCATAGACTAACATTGCCCATAGACTAACATTGCCCATAGACTCACATTGCCCATAGACTTACATTGCCCATAGACTAACATTGCCCATAGACTAACATTGCCCATAGACTAACATTGCCCATAGACTAACATTGCCCATAGACTAACATTGCCCATAGACTAACATTGCCCATAGACTAACATTGCCCATAGGACTAACATTGCCCATAGACTAACATTGCCCATAGACTCACATTGCCCATAGACTAACATTGCCCATAGACTAACATTGCCCATAGACTCACATTGCCCATAGACTTACATTGCCCATAGACTAACATTGCCCATAGACTAACATTGCCCATAGACTAACATTGCCCATAGACTAACATTGCCCATAGACTAACATTGCCCATAGACTAACATTGCCCATAGACTCACATTGCCCATAGACTTACATTGCCCATAGACTAACATTGCCCATAGACTTACATTGCCCATAGACTAACATTGCCCATAGACTAACATTGCCCATAGACTCGCTGTGCTTCAGAAGCTATCGATGCCAATGTCGAGGTCCTGCTGCTGCTGCTGTTGACACGACGAGGGCGCTTGAGCAGAGAGAGTTCTCTCGTGTCGTGTCGTGTCGCTGTTCCTCCTCCGTTGACGGAGCGCAGAGCGCAGTGAGTTCACAGTGTGGGTTACATGGCCACAGTCGACCTGCTGTGGTTTGTCTTTAACGTATCTCTATGTATCTCTATGTATCTCTACAAGTCTCTATCAGCGTGCATATATCTATGAATCTCTATGGGTCTCTAGCTATCTCTATGGGTCTCTGTGTGTCTCTATGTATCTCTGCAAGTCTCTATCAGCGTGCATATATCTATGAATCTCTATGGGTCTCTAGCTATCTCTATGGGTCTCTGTGTGTCTCTATGTATCTCTGCAAGTCTCTATCAGCGTGCATATATCTATGAATCTCTATGGGTCTCTAGCTATCTCTATGGGTCTCTGTGTGTCTCTATGTATCTCTACAAGTTTCTATCAGCGTGCATATATCTATGAATCTCTATGGGTCTCCATCTATCTCTATGGGTCTCTGTGTGTCTCTATGTATCTCTACAAGTCTCTATCAGCGTGCATATATCTATGAATCTCTATGGGTCTCTATCTATGTCTATGGGTCTCTGTGTATCTCTATGTATCTCTACAAGTCTCTATCAGCGTGTATATCTATGAATCTCAATGGGTCTCTATCTATCTCTATGGGTATCTGTGTGTCTCTATGTATCTCTACAAGTCTCTGTCAGCGTGTATATCTACGAATCTCTATGGGTCTCTATCTATCTCTATGGGTCTCTGTGTGTCTCTATGTATCTCTACAAGTCTCTATCAGCGTGTATATATCTATGAATCTCAATGGGTCTCTATCTATCTCTATGGGTCTCTGTGTGTCTCTATGTATCTCTGCAAGTCTCTATCAGCGTGTATATATCTATGAATCTCTATGGGTCTCTAGCTATCTCTATGGGTCTCTGTGTATCTCTATGTATCTCTACAAGTCTCTATCAGCGTGTATATCTACGAATCTCTATGGGTCTCTATCTATCTCTATGGGTCTCTGTGTGTCTCTATGTATCTCTACAAGTCTCTATCAGCGTGCATATATCTATGAATCTCTATGGGTCTCAATCTATCTCTATGGGTCTCTGTGTGTCTCTATGTATCTCTACAAGTCTCTATCAGCGTGTATATATCTATGAATCTCTATGGGTCTCTAGCTATCTCTATGGGTCTTTGTGTATCTCTATGTATCTCTGCAAGTCTCTATCAGCGTGTATATCTATGAATCTCTATGGGTCTCTATATATCTCTATGGGTATCTGTGTGTCTCTATGTATCTCTGCAAGTCTCTATCAGCGTGTATATATCTATGAATCTCTATGGGTCTCTAGCTATCTCTATGGGTCTCTGTGTGTCTCTATGTATCTCTACAACTCTCTATCAGCGTGGATATACCTATGAATCTCTATGGGTCTCTATCTATCTCTATGTGTCTCTGTGTGTCTCTATGTATCTCTGCAAGTCTCTATCAGCGTGTATATATCTATGAATCTCTATGGGTCTCTATGAATCTATGTACGTACGCATGTTGAACTTCTTTCGCACCGTACGTAGCCGACCGTTCTAACCGCCGTTTGTGGGGACACACCGTGGACACACGCAGCACAACCGCGAATACAGCTCTCTCACGATCTCTCTCTCTAGTTCCGCCTTTTAAGGGACATCTTCATGAAACTGGGGGTGCCCTTCTACAACAGCAACTTCGTATATGGGGTGGTGCCTTACCTGGCTAACAAGCGCCATGACCTCGCCAACTTCGCCTGTGCTCAGGCGAAGTTGGCGGTGTACAGAACGAGAAAAAAGATGCTGCAAGGTGACACTGACGGCTGCTCTGTGCTGCTTCCAGTGTTCAGGGGCCTGCTTAAGGCGCGGCTCCGGCTGGAGCACGCCAAGTACCACACACATGCCGGTGATGTGCAGCGCGTCTTCTTCGAACGCTGGGGAGCCGGACAAGCCCCTCTCTGTACCAGCGTGGACGGCATCCTCCTGTTCACCTTCTGAAGCGCTCGCTCGTCAACGTGGCGTGCGCGATGACCACCACCACCACCACCACGTGACTTTTCTTTCGTGTTGTGCGCGCTGCATTTAGCGCCACAGCGCGTGGATGTATCGTGTTCCTTATTTGTGTTGCTGGTGACTTTGTGTATTTCATATCGGAATCGCCTCCAGTGCTGTTACTGCTGGCGGCAATAAAATGTGTTTAAAAGTCAAAGCCTCTCAATGTCTCTCTCTACCTGTCCACGCCATGAACAGCGCGAGTCCACGACCATCTCTTACCCAGAGTCATGATTACCTCCCTCCCCTCCCTCCTCCCACATCCCCACACCCCCCTCCCCTCCATCCTCCCAAACACCGACCATGAGGGAATTCCTTTCTGTCTGACTCAGAGGCCCCGCCTGGCTCTGCGCGCTGCTGTTTTTGGCCTCGCCGTGACTCTGAGTGCCCGGTGCTTGCCGGGGGAGTGCGGTGGTGGTGGGGGGGTGAAGGAGGAGGTAGAGTGGAGGGCGGGGTAGTGGGAGGAAGGTGGGAGGGGGGGGGACTGTGAATGGGAGACCCCCGTGAGGCGAGAGTGCGCTCGTCGGTGATGATACTAAGCACGTTTAAGGGGGGCTGCCCCCTAAATGAACATTAGTCTCCAACCCAACCCGTGTGCCCGCCCCCAATTAAAATCCCACAGGCAATTACTGTACGAGGGGGTTGCTGGTTAATGTCCACTAGGTTGTTGTGAACCTGGGGGTGCATCTCGCACCCCCTGGGGGGGGAGGGGGGGGCGAGACGTGACCAGATTTATTTAAAAGGTAAATAATCGAAAACACAAGTTACGTACGGGGCGCGTAAGTACAACTACTTTGTTTCATCACACCTCTATGTATTTATTAACATTATACATTTTTTCTTACGACTGAGAACCCAAGGAGTACAGGGCTTCAGTAAATGTCAAGAACTACTGCTTTACACGACCTGCAACCTCAAATGACAGAGGTCATCGTGTATTCAGTTCCGTTGTTGCCCGCCGCTAGCGCACACCCGCCTCGCCATCGCTCCCTTCCCGCTGCCAGATCGCGCAGCAGTCGTGCAATCCGCTCGACACCCGCCCGAGAGCAACCTCACTGTTGTACTGTACTTGTAGGCTACCCGTGTGGACACGCGCGTGGTTATGTGGCTCGCTGGGTTAGGTCACGAGAGGTAGTCCCTTTGTCGCAGAAGTTCGCGGATCGAATGCGATGATGGTGATGAGGTGAAGATGACGATGAGATGACAATTACGATGATCGTGATGAAATCAAAGTTATGATGATGGTGATGAGATGAAGATTATGATGGTGATAATATGAAGATGATGGTGATGATGAGATAAAAATGATGGTGATGATGAGATGAAGATGATGGTGATGATGATGATATAAAAATGATGATGAGCTAAAGATGACGGTGATGAGATCAAGACGACGATGATGGTGGTTACAGAGACGATGGTGACCGAACTGGACTCACCGAGCCCCTTCTCCACGAAGACGACCCTCGACTCGGGGATGAAGTTCTGCCCCGTGAGGTGGAGCTCGTCGCCTCCCGTCACGGAGCCACTCTCCGCGCTCTGGCTCTCGATCAGCGGCAACTCCTGCGCCGAGCGCTGGGCTGTGTGGCGTGCCGGGAGGCAGGGAGCGAGAGGGCAGCGAGAGAGGAGTGGAAGAGATGGAGGGAGAGGGTGGGGAAGATGTTTAATTTGTTAAATCACGGTTTCTTCAATAAAAAGGCCGAAACGCCAAGCTCAGCGGTCAGCAACAAACACCACTCGTGAAGGTGTCAATAGATATCAGATGCATGTAATGAACGTGTGTATGTGTGTGTAAGTGTGTATGTATACGGGGAGTGGTAGTGCAGTGGTTAGTGCGCTGTGCTCCGAACACGGCAAGCCGAGCTCGAATCCTCCTCACGGCGAATACCATTGACGATTATCTGAACAGCTTATGGGTCTCCCCTCGGTCAGCTCAGCCTTAAACCCCTACGGTGTGTAATAATCATCGCCACTGGGGAGACAAAGGCGGCCGGTGCGTGGTGTTGGCCACCCAACCCCTCGCGTGTCGTGCCGGCGTTCATAAGTGCGACTCGCTCACAGCACTTTCCCCTAAAAACTCTGTTGAGGCTATACGGGGGATCATTGTCTTTGTATGCATCAAGGCAAAAAGACGCCACCATGTGTACGACCACACCTCTCACATTGCGTTTCGGCCAAAGAGCGACTCATAGAACATTACCATATACTGTCCCTGAAGTGCGTAATTATAGACTCACGGCTGCGTTATAAATAACGGAGTTCCGCGGGTGACATTTGTTACAGGAATGCTGTTTTTACGCCAACCTCGAACTCCTCGCCACTTATCCCGGATCACTCGGCGGTGGTCTGTCACAAAGCCGGCACGGGGCGTGAGCTCAAGCGTCGTGAGCGAGCTCAACTCTTGATATACACCGAGATTGTTTTTTTTTTATTATTGTACCAGGTAAGGTCCCACTGAGCTATGTAGCTCTTTTTTCAGAAGCGACCCGGCCACAATTGATAGCTCAACGAAAGTGGCTTATCGCGTGGAAATTTATAGCAGCCGAATACTCTAAACGCGTGGTGACGTTGATTCTAAATGTGGAGGGAAAACCCGTGAAGATCCGGATAAAAAAGTTCCACGCGACCACATGGAGAGCGACACGCAAATTCCAAATATACAGGAGCAGGAGTCAGGGTCGGGATCGAACCCACGACCTCCTGTGTACCGGGCGAGGGAGTTAACATGTCGCCAAAGCGCAGAGCCGTCTGCTGCTGCTGCCGATGCCGCTGGTAACTCACAAGGCTGAGCCGACCAAGAGGAGGAGGATGCTCAGATGTTGCAGTCGCAACTGATGACCGACGTGCCTAGGGATCTAACTCGGGTTTGCCGGGTTTCGTAGGGCAGTGCTCTAAAACCGCACCAACTACCGCCGTCTCTCTCGCGCGCACTCAAACACAATGCACACACACACATACACACACAGTACACACACAGTACACACACAGCACACACACAGTACACACACACAGTACACACACACAGCACACACACAGTACACACACACAGTACACACACAGCACACACACAGTACACACACACAGTACATACACAGCACACACACACACAGTACACACACAGTACACACACACAGTACACACATACACAGCACACACAGAGTACACACACAGCAGACACACAGTACACACACACAGTACACACACAGTACACACACAGCACACACAGCACACACACACAGTACACACACACAGCACACACACAGTACACACACAGCACACACACAGTACACGCACACAGTACACACACAGCACACACACAGTACACACACAGCACACACACAGCACACACACACAGCACACACACAGCACACACACAGCACACACACAGCACACACACAGTACACACACACAGCACACACACAGTACACACACAGCACACACACAGTACACACACAGCACACACAGCACAAACACAGTACACACACACAGTACACACACAGTACACACACAGCACACACACAGTACACACACAGCACACACACAGTACACACACAGCACACACACAGTACACACACAGCACACACACACAGTACACACACAGCACACACACACAGTACACACACAGCACACACACAGTACACACACACAGTACACACACAGCACACACACAGTACACACACAGCACACACACACAGCACACACACACAGTACACACACACAGTACACACACACAGTACACACACAGCACACACACACACAGTACACACACAGCACACACACACAGTACACACACAGCACACACACAGTACAAACACAGTACACACACAGTACACACATAGCACACACAGAGTGCACACACAGTACACACACAGCACAAACACAGTATACACACACACAGTACACACACAGTACACACACAGTACAAACACAGTACACACACACAGTACACACACAGTACACACACAGCACACACACAAATGATGGTCAACACGTGGGGTTCTAAGTCACGGCCAAACGGACCCGGCAGACAGATAAATTAGAGAGAGTGGTGACATCACAGCCCCCCGCGCACAGACAACACCCCCCCCCCCCCCCCGGGGGAATGAACCCTTCCAGGAGACGCCATCTACAGAAGCCTTGACATGCCGTGGGAATGTTTCATTCCCTGGAAAGGAGGAGTGGGGGGGGGGTTACCATATTTTACTATCAGAGAAGCGTGGCGAGTGGCGAGCTCGGAATGACAACGAGAGACGACGGGAAGAGGAGGAAGCACGTGGACCCCACGAGCGCATTCCACACCAGAGACGTCAGTGTCCGTGGTGGCGAGGAGATGTTAACTACCTCGCCCGGTAGACAGGAGGTAGTGGGTTCCATCCCGACCCTGACGACGCCTGCTGCTGTATAGTTTGGAGTTTGCGTGTCTCTCTCCCTCTTTCTCCCCGTGCTTGCGTGGATTGTTTTTGCGGCCCGTCTGGGGTTTCTCTCCACGTTGAGAATCAACGTGGATTTAGAGCATTCGGCTGCTATTCGTTTCCACGTAATAGGCCACTTCGTTGAGTTTTTATTTGTGGCCAGGTCGCTTCTCAAAAAGAGCTATATAGCTCAGTGGGCCTTACTTGGTAAAATGAAAATAGCTTAAAAATAGTTTAAACATTGAGATTCATCCAGCAGTGGATAATGCCGCCTATTTGCCCAGTGGAAGCCTCGCCGTGAAAGAGTCTAAATACTCTTTCTCAGGATGGTCGTGCTACATTGGGATGGTTGGTCAAGTCCATTACTGAGTGTTGCTCATCATCATCCATGCTCAATCCATAGATGATGATGCTGATGATCAGGTCTCCAAATCAGCCACCAACCCACGCGCTCCTGCGATTTACCAAACCCGCGTGGTGATGATAATCGTGATGATGATGGTGGTGATAATGATGGAGGTGGTGATGATGGTGTTCGTGATGATGATGATGATCGTGACTATGATCGTGACATTACTTCATTAGGTTCTGTGCGCCGTAAGAGAAACATCGACCCCCCCCCCCCCATCTCTCCATCGACCCAACCCTCTGCACCCCCTCCCCAACTCCACCACCCACCAAGGCCCCCCCAGCGACCCACCCCAACCCCCTCCACCAGCACGTGCTCGCGAGCCGGTTACGGCTCATCACGAGCGGTTTGCTGCTGCCGCCGCCGCCGTCACCGCCGCTGCTGCTGCTAACAAATGACTCCGTAGGGTTTACTCAATGAGTTAAATGTTTTATTTAAAAAAATATATATTATACAAAATGTGGGTCCCACGGAAGAATAATAAAATATCACAGGATGGATCGTGCGTGCGTGTGTTGTTGTTGTTGTTGAAACCCACGTGGAGTTCTCGCACGCACGTGCACACAAGTCCACACAATAACGGTGGGTCCTGGCTACCGGGACCTCCGAGGGTGGCGTCCCTCCCGACATTCCTCATGGGGTGGGTGGTAAAGAGTGGGAGGAGTTGGTGGGGGGAGGGCGGGGTGGTTGAGGTGGGGGGGGTATCGTGGGAGGGATATGCCGTGATGCGAGCGCGCGCGCTCACGCAGCCGTGCGGGCAGAGGGGGGGGGGAAGGGATGCGATAGCAGGGGCGGTGTGGGGTGGGGAGCAGAGGGATGGGACGGACCGGGGTGGGGGGGGGAGGGCTGCACGTGCGTGGAGTCACGGCCGGGTCGGCTGGGGACCACAACCCCGCGACACACGGGGAGGCGGGAGGGGTTGCGGGTGAAGGGGGTAAGGAAGGGGCGGGGGAGGGGACGAATGGTTTGCGCAGTCGATGTTGCAGGGGAAAGCCGGAAGCGGCTACACGGGGAGGGCGTCTTTCGCCGTGGTGTCAGAATCAGAATCTGTATTTATGCTGGAGGAGGAATCCAGTGAGCCAGTAAGCTCTTTTTCACAGACGTCCAGCAGTCAAGGATGCCCAGCAACGTCTAATGTAGCGAGACGCTCACGGCTCTTGGTGGGGGCAGGGGCTGCCCCCGCCCCCAACACTAGCCTGCCCCCCTCTCTCTCGACCCACCCCCTGCACCCCACCCCTCCCGCAGGAAGAGAGCACGTGTAGGGCGCGTGTTTGAGTAGCGCGAGTGCGTGGTGTGAGTGCAGGCGTGGGGAGCGGTGGCGCAAGTGGTTAGCGCAACTGCGCTACTAAACTATACAAAATATTTTCTTCACCAGGTAAACCCCACGGAGCTCGTAGCTCTTGTCAGGAGGCGACCTGGCCACACGTGGTGGTGATGATGATGATGATGATAGCTAATCGTCCAAGTTGCTGCAATCATTATCATCATCATCACTGCACGTGGGAATTTATAGCAGCAGGCAAATATTATCGACGCGTGTTGACTCTAAATGTGGAGGCGAGGGTAGCAAGAGAGGAGGAACCGGGAGAAGAATCCACGACACCACCATGGGGAGAGAGAGAACACGCGGACTCCAAATCTACAACAACAGGCATTGTCAGGGTCCGGGATCGAACCCACGACTCCTTGCATAGCACGCGAAGGAGGTAACTCGCTACCAAGGCGCTTCACGTCGTGTGGAGTGAATGAGTGGGTGGGTGAGCGGGTGGGTGGGTGGGTGGGTGAGTGGGTGGGTGGGTGAGTGGGTGGGTGGGTGAGTGGGTGGGTGGGTGAGTAGTGGGTGAGTGGGTGAGTGGGTGGATGAGTGGGTCAGTAGTGGGTGAGTGGGTGGGTGGGTGGATGAGTGGGTGGGTGAGTAGTGGGTGAGTGGGTGGGTGAGTGGGTGGGTGGGTGAGTAGTGGGTGAGTGGGTGAGTAGTGGGTGAGTGGGTGGGTGAGTGGATGAGTGGGTGGGTGAGTAGTGGGTGAGTGAGTAGTGGGTGAGTGGGTGGGTGAGTGGATGAGTGGGTGAGTGGGTGAGTGAGTGGGTGAGTAGGTGGGTGAGTGGATGAGTGGGTGAGTGAGTGGGTGAGTGGGTGGTTGAGTGAGTGAGTGGGTGAGTGAGTAGGTGAGTGAGTGAGTGGGTGGTTGAGTGAGTAAGTGGGTGAGTGAGTAGGGGAGTGAGTGGGTGAGTCGGTGGTTGAGTGAGTGAGTGGGTGAGTGAGTGGGTGAGTGGATGAGTGGGTGAGCAGGTGAGTGAGTGGGTGAGTGAGTGAGTGAGTGGATGAGTGGGTGGGTGAGTGGGTGGGTGAGTAGTGGGTGAGTGGGTGAGTAGTGGGTGAGTGGGTGGGTGAGTGGATGAGTGGGTGGGTGAGTAGTGGGTGAGTGGGTGAGTGGGTGGGTGAGTGGATGAGTGGGTGAGTGGGTGAGTAGGTGGGTAAGTGGATGAGTGGGTGAGTGAGTGGGTGAGTGGGTGGTTGAGTGGGTGGTTGAGTGAGTAAGTGGGTGAGTGAGTAGGGGAGTGAGTGAGTCGGTGGTTGAGTGAGTGAGTGGGTGAGTGAGTGGGTGAGTGGATGAGTGGGTGAGTAGGTGAGTGAGTGGGTGAGTGGGTGAGTGAGTGAGTGGGTGAGTGGATGAGTGGGTGAGTGGGTGAGTGGATGAGTGGGTGAGTGAGACTCACAGCACTCGATGGGGATGGAGGCGGCCTGTAGGGACAGCACTTTGCCTCCGGGCTGCGGGACGTGGATGCGGAACACGAGACGCACGCGCGTGTTCTTCCGCCCGATGTCCGTCTCCCCCTTGCGTAACTCGATATCCGAGTTGCGCAACTTCAGGATCCCCGCGCAGTCGATGCTGCGGAGGGAGGGGGGCGTAGGGGGGAGGGGGTGGTGGAATTGTGAGCGAGACTCGTCCCTCGATCTCATCACTCGAAGTTACATCGCTCCGTCACGACCGTCTGATGCATTTATTGTTTACGTTAATGTCATCGACAGGACGAACATCAGCAGTGGAGTGGCAATGAAAGGCGATGACCACGATGGCATTGATGATGATCACTGATGATGATCACGATGGCACTGATGATGATCACGATGGCACTGATGATAATGATGATCATGATGGCACTGATGATGATCGTTCGTGCTGCCAATGAAACAGCCGATGATGATGATGATTACGACGAAGTCAAACATAGCACGGCGAACACTACCAGTACATCTGTAACGAAGGATGGCCGTATCCTGTCATCTGTCACTCCACATTATATATGCAAAGTTATAAAAACCCCCCATAAAAACAGCTAAATATAATTTTCATTTTATTTTAAACATCCCATCAGCCGTACCGCTCACGATGATGTAAAAAAAAGTTTGGAATGTAACTTAAATTTTTTTTGACAAAACTGACCTGGCCATCATTCCGTTGTCGGGCAGCAGCGGAATCTCGAGCACCTTGGTGCCGTGCATGAGCAGCTCGTGGCTGCTCGTGCCCACCGCCTTGCCCGTGATGCGGTGCACCTGGTAGAAGGCGTGCGGCCGCAGCAGCCGCTCGTCCGCCGTGCCGATGAACATGTGCAGAGTCAGCGGCTTCTCGTTGTAGCCGTGCAGCTGTGGTGGTGGTGGTGTTGGGGAGGAGGAGAGGGTGATGAGGAGGTGGTGGGAGATGAGGTGGGAGAGAGGAGGAGGTGGGAGAGGAGGAGATGGAGGAGGAGGACGTCGTTGGAGGGCAAAAGGAGGAGATGGGATAGAATGAGGAGGAGATGGAGGAGGAGGAGGTGGTGGTGGTAGTGAGGAAGGGGTTGGAGAGATAAAGAGGTGGTGGTGGTGGGAGAGTTCGAGGAGGTAGAGTAGAGTAGGGCGGTGGAGAGGATGAGGGTCGGGTAGAGGGTAGGGCAGGTAGAGACGGAGGTGGTGAGGAGGTGATGGAATGGAGGCGGTAGTGATGAGGAGGATGAGGGTAGGGGAGGTAGAAGAGGAGAATGGATAGGATGGAGACGTTGGAGGAGGTGGTGTTGGTGGGGTGGGGGTGTGGGCGTGGGAATATTTCACGGGCCCGCAAAATCCCACGTCGTGATCTCACAAATTCTCACCGCCAACTCGCAGCAAGTCGTTGCGTAAAAACACATCGTGACCGTTGTGAGTGCATGCGCTGCGAACCCGGCGACCCCGAGTTCCATTCCCGCTCACGGCCAACACCAGTGACGATTATCTGAACCGGTTCCGGACCTCCGATAGGTTGACTCAGCCTAAAATTAGTACCTGGCGCGATATGTAAACATAGCCGCTGGGGAGAGACAAAGACGGCCGGTGCGTGGTGTTGACCACCCACCCCGTCGTGTCGGCCTTCACAGGTGCTACTCGCTCACAGATCTTGCCCCGACTGTCGGCTACGGGCTACACGGGGGTGCTTTGCCTGTCCTGTCGGTACTAAGCGAGCGCGAGCAGAGACACGGAGAGGCAGAATCTTGAATCTTTTCAGCGGCGCTGATGATCCAAATCAGAACCGCTTGTCACTAAGCCGCCACTTGTGAAAGTCAACGCCGGTGCCAGATTCACGACCAGATGTAGCGCCCTGGGTGGATGTAGCTCTAATTATTATTACGTTTAACTTCTTTCGCGCCGTACGTAGCCAACCGCGCTAATTGGACGCTAAACTAAAGACACAAAGCAGTTCCCCGCCTAGTTACAAGCAGGGGTTAGCGTTCTAACTTACTTCTGAACCAGCAGCCTGGACGTGTTGCGACCCTCCCTCCTTCCCCACGGGCAGCACAACTTCTGTGTCCCACATTGCACAACCCGTGATCGATTACAGCTTAGAAAGTGCTGTTTGGTTGCTGAGCGCTTGACGTTGTGGGCTTGTCCCCTCCCTCCCCCTAACCCCGGTCCCCCCCCCACCCCCCCTCGCCACAACCATCACCCACGGTGCGCCCCCCCTCTCCCCCAGCGGCGTTCACCTTCACGAGGGGGTGTCCCCCCGAAGCAGCCTTCACGGCCCCCCGGCTCCCCTCTGTCTCGTAGTGAGCGCGGTGGTGGGGCCTGGGCTCCAACTCGACCCGCAGCTCGTAGGGACCTCCCGTGCTGGGCAGTTGCCAGTCGAGGGGGGGAAGTGAAGTTACCCTAAATTGGGGTGGGGACACACACACGTGCAAACATTCCATATTGATGTGACGAGTTTTTGTCATTGCACTCAAGAGTAGGCGCTCGGGCTGTATGGATGAGTTAAGGGTTGGTGTCCAGCTCAGGTGAGCAGTGAGGCATTGGTGCTCATCTCTGGTTTACGGCACTGGTGGTGGAAATTCCACGTTACTATGGCCGGGGTTGAGGGGGGCGAATTTCGCGGGGAGCACACAAAGGCCCTTCGGATTATGGGTGTAGGGGGTAGGCGGAGGTGACGATGATCTTTGTGCTGCAGCGGATGATAGGTAGATAGATGAGGAGGATGGTTACAGAAGGAGGAGATTGAGGAGGTAGGGTGATGACGATGGTGTACTGGGGCTAAGAGATGAAGGGGGGGGGGGGTAAAGGCTGAGTAGTGACGTCAGGAAATGACCGCTGGCTACTGCAGAGGTAACCAATCACTGATCTGCGTCTCTCACCTGAAGAGGGGCGCGTGCGCTCCTCCCACTCCTCCTCCCCCCAGGGCCCCGCCCCCGCTGCCCCCACCTCCCCCGCTGCCCTTTCCCTTCCCCCACGGGAAGGAGGGAGGCACGCAGAGGAAGGGATCACCGCTAGGTTCTCTCTTGAGCTGCTGATGCTGATGATTATGCTGCTGCTGATGATGATGATGCTGATGCAGCGCGCACGCCGCGCCGTCCTCCTCGTCCCGCCGCGGCGATGCCCTTCTGCGCGCCTTCACGGGAAGGTCCTCGGCCGTGGCGTCTCCGTCGGGACAAGTGGCGAGCGCCGGCGTCGCCGGTGAGCGCGCGCCGTCCTCCACGATGCTGGAACGCGGCGAGGAGCGCGGCGAGAGCGCCGGGGAGAGCGCCGGGGAGAGCGCGGGAGAGCCACCACCACCTCCACCACCACCTCCACCACCACCACGTGCTCCGTAATAAATCTCGGCGCTAGAATAACGGCGCTTGCCTCGAGGTGAAGCCGGGAGGGATACGGGCCCCGTAGCACCACCACCAGCACCACCACCACCAGCACCACCTCCGGCCGCCAGCATCCCCGGGTAGAGGAATCCATCCTCGCCCCCCGTCATGAGCCGAGCGGGAGCGCCCGCCGAGCGCCGCCGGCCCAGCGCGGCGTGACCGCTCCCCAGCCCCGCGGCGGCCGCGCATCCCAAGGGCGTCCACGTCTCGTCGGCGCCAGAGGCGGCCGCGGTGGCCGCGACTCGAAATCCCGGGGAACCCTGGGGCGACGGCAGCGGCGAGGATGTGTGCGGAGAGCCCAGCTGCTGCTGCTGCTGTTGCTGCTGCTGTTGTTGTTGTTGCTGTTGTTGCTGCTGAAGGACGAGTCTCGTGGCGGCGTCGTTGAGGTCGGCCTCGTTGTCGTCGCACGCGTAAGGGTACGACTCGATTGAGGAGGCGTCCGAGAAGCAGCTGCGCGACGAGAGACTGCTGCTGGGACTCAGGTTGTTGTGGCCGCTCTCGCGGTACGGGGTTTGGTCTAGGGGCAGGTACAGGTGCTCCGACAGCCTCGGGACAGCTGCGGCAGCAGCAGCAGCAGCCCCACCTCCAGCGACCACAGCAGCCGCGGTGTTCCCGTTGGGGTCACCGGCCGGGTCCGAAGCTTCGGCGCCGCTGTGCGCGGCAGACGTGACGCAGTGCGGTGGGAACGAGGTGATTTGGATGCTGGGGCAGTCGAAGATGGGTGGTGGTGGTTGTTGTTGTTCTGAGTGGCAGCTGCCGTTAGTCGCATGTGGAAACTTGCTCTCTGGTTGCTGCTGCTGCTGTTGATGATGATGCTGCTGCTGCTGATGGTGATGCTGCTGATGCTGCTGCTGATGGTGATGATGGTGGCTGGCGCTGTCGCGCATCGTTTGTCCCTCGACTTGGTCGAGCCAGGAGGAGCTCATGACGAGCGCGTGCATCTGGGAGACTCTGGAGTCTGGGTCGCCTGAGATCGAGAAGCCCTTTCCATGGGTCGCGTCGTGGTCTGGAGCTATTGGGGAAGAGGGGGGGGGGGCCGGGGAGGTCAGCAGAAGGGGGCAGGGGGTGACTCGATGATCGCTACTGCTGCTGCTATGCGATCGCCAACGGGGGGTTCAGTTGCGGTGTAAATGTTCGAATTTGTCGGGGTAAAAATTTAAAGTTTAAGAGCATCGCGAGCCACAGTTGCCTCGCTCACGTGCATCGCGAGGGAGAGAGAGGGGGGAGAGAGGGGGGGAGAGAGGGGGGAGAGGGGGGGAGAGAGAGGGGGGAGAGGGGGGGAGAGAGAGGGGGGAGAGAGAGGGGGGAGAGAGAGAGGGGAGAGGGGGGTGGGAGAGAGGGGGAGAGGGGGGGGGGGAGAGAGGGGGAGAGGGGGGGAGAGAGAGGGGGGAGAGAGGGGGGGAGAGAGAGGGGGGGAGAGAGAGGGGGAGGAGAGACGGGAGAGAGGGTGGGGGGGAGAGCTGAGTTACGGCGTGGAGCTACGAACGCAGAGGTCCGACACGGACGCTCGAGCGGAGGAGACGGAGCGATGGTAACGATGGTAACGCGTTCGCCAGGGATGGAGGGGGCAGCCCTATTGGGCGAGTGTTTTCATTCAACAGTGGATCGAGCATGGCTGCTGATGTCGATGATGTTGGTGATGACGATGAGAAGTGTACATATTCACCGCTCTCCCATCGCTTCCTCCTAAATCCCCCAAGCCCCTGCAACCCCCCCTCCCACTGACCCCCGCCCGCTCCAGAGTCCCATCCTGGACCCCCTTCCTGAGAGTGACTCAGACCAGCGATCGAGGGGGGCCGGGGGGAGGGGTAATGGCTCTAGCCAAGACTCAAACTCACCGAGTCTCAAGGCGCTGCTACATGGGGCGGCAGTGGTGTTCGGGCAATTGTTTTTATTAAATGTCAAGTCGTTTCGATTTAAAGCTTTCGTGACTGCAGGGATTCATCTTCTTGGTTCTTTCGGTAAAGTCACGTAGAAGGGAAATAATAAAATAATAAAAATAAAACATAATAAATGATTTCCTTTCTACGTGACTTTACCGAAAGAAGCAAGACGATGTAAAGTCGTTGTTTTGCTGCACGTGGAAGGAGACCACGTGGTACCCGAAGCAAAGCCACCGCGAACCTACTTGCTGTACTGCCACTCCCCCAAACCCCCCACTCAGCCCCCCCCCCCAACTTACCCCCACCCCCCACTCACCCCCCACACACCCCCAGCGCTCACTACCGGGGTCATCTCGCATAGCGCTGGGAGTTGCACAAATCCCTTGCTTAAAAAGCGACGGATCACGCACGGGCGCGCACACATAGCCATCACCACGACCACCACCACGCCCGTGACAACTCCATGCCCGTGTGGGCATGGAGTTGTCACTTCTTCTCCAGTCACTCGAAGGTCCTCGCCATCTCTGTGGGTGGTGGGTGAGTGGCTCGGGTGCGGATGCGAAGTGAGAGGTGAGCGGTGCGGGGTGAGTGGTGAGTGTTGGGGGGTGGTGGGTGAGTGGTACGGGAGAGGATTCGAGGTGAGAGTTGAGCCGCGCTGTGGGTGAGTATCGAGTGGTGAGTGGTCGGTGGGTGAGGCGTGGTGAGCGGCTGTCTTACCCAGTGCGTGGGTGCGCATGGTCGGGCTGGCTGCGAGATGTCGCCAAGTCGCGAGTCTATCCTGAAATATCAGCAACATCATCAGCGTCATTGTCATCAACACGGATACCAGCGGCAACACACAAAGCCAAAGATCCCCACCCCCGTGTAGCCTTTACCAAACTGTAGGGGGCAAGTGGTGTTAGCGAGCAGCACCTATGAAGGCCGGCACGGCACACGAGGGGGTGGGTGGTCAGCACCACGCCCGACCGCCTTTGTCTTCCCTGTGCTGATACTTTAAGCACCGCACCAGGTACTCATTTGAGGTTGAGTCGACCTAGGGGAGTTCCAGGACCGGTTCAGATAATCGTCACTGGTGTTGGCCGTGAGCGGAATATGAACCCGTATCGCCGAGTTCATAGCGCAGCGCGCTAACCGCTACACTACCGCTCCCCACACACACTGACACGCACACTAACACGCACACTGACACACATACTAACACACACACTGACGCACACACTGACACACACCAACACACACACTGACACACACACTAACACACACACTAACACACACACTAACACACACTAACACACACACACTAACACACACACACTAACACACACACACTAACACACACACTAACACACACACTAACACACACACACTAACACACACACTAACACACACACACTAACACACACACTAACACACACACACTAACACACACACTGACACACACACTAACACACACACTAACACACACACTAACACACACACTAACACACACACTAACACACACACTAACACACACACTAACACACACTAACACACACACACTAACACACACACTAACACACACACTAACACACACTAACACACACACTAACACACACACCAACACACACACTGACACACACTAACACACACTAACACACACACTAACACACACACACTAACACACACACACACTAACACACACACTAACACACACACTAACACACACACTAACACACACACTAACACACACACTGACACACACTAACACACACACACTAACACACACACTAACACACACACTAACACACACTAACACACACACTAACACACACACCAACACACACACTGACACACACTAACACACACTAACACACACACTAACACACACACTAACACACACACTGACACACACACTAACACACACACTAACACACACACACTAACACACACACTAACACACACACTAACACACACACACTAACACACACACTGACACACACTAACACACACACTAACACACACACTAACACACACTGACACACACACTAACACACACACTAACACACACACTAACACACACACTAACACACACACTAACACACACTAACACACACTAACACACACACTAACACACACACTAACACACACACTAACACACACACACTAACACACACACTAACACACACACTAACACACACACTAACACACACTAGCACACACACACACACTAACACACACACTGACACACACACTAACACACACACTAACACACACACTAACACACACACTAACACACACACACTAACACACACACTAACACACACACTAACACACACACACTAACACACACTAACACACACTAACACACACACACTAACACACACACTAACACACACACTAACACACACACTGACACACACACTAGCACACACACTAACACACACTGACACACACACTAACACACACACTAACACACACTAACACACACTAACACACACACTAACACACACACACTAACACACACACTAACACACACTAACACACACACTAACACACACTAACACACACTAACACACACACTAACACACACACTAACACACACACTAACACACACACTAACAACAACAACAACCGCCATTCGCCACTAAGTGGCGGTGACGTCACCACGACGCTTGTGCCAGGCTATGTGCACCCTGAGGCCACGTGAAGTGTCGAACGCCCGCTGGCAGGAGGTCACGGGGCAGACCCAGGTGCCACGGGTCGACTGACTGAGATGACTGGCTGATGCACCACCTGTGCCCCCTACTGTGCCAACCTGCTGTGCTTTAGCCACCCGGCGCTCCGCTCGCTGTTGTGAGCGTCGCTCCTCCGCCCTCCGTTGTTGTTGGAGGGCGACTGCCTCCAACTGCCCAGTAGCATCCTTCACGAGCCTCCTCCACAGAGGCCGATCTTGACACCGCTGGTACCAGTCATCGGCAAGTCCACTCAGCTCCACGTCCTCCTGTACCACATCACTCCATCTCTTCTCTAGCCCGTGCCGCGCCCGCTTAGCCCCCTCAATCCGGCCAAACAAAAGCTGTTTCGGCATGCGGTGGCTGGGCATGCGGGCTACATGACCCAGCCATCGCAGCCTTGCCTGCCGGAGGAGCTCACCGATGGGACCCTGCCCAGATCTTTCAAGGATTTGTGAGCTCCTCACACAATCCAGTCTGGTTAAACCCAGGATGGATCGTAGGCAGGTCAGCCTAAATGTTTCTAACCGGCGAAGATGTTCCATTAGGGGGGTCCACGTTTCGCAAGCGTAGAGAAGGGAGGGAATGACCGTGGCCGAGAAGACCTGAAGCTTAGTGCGGAGCGACAGACCAGGTAGCTTCCACACAGCGTTACGTAACCGATGAAAAGATATTGCTGCTCGACTGATTCGGAGTGAGACCTCTGCTGTTAAACTGGAGCCAGTCATAAGCACACTGCCCAGGTATGGGAAACTCTCCACTCTCTCCACAACTGCCCCATCACCGATTGGGAGTTGTGTGGGTCGAGTGTCCGATGGTACAAAATACCCAGGCAGGTGCTTAGTTTTGGTGGGGCTGATGGTAAGGCCCCACCTCTTAGTGGCACGCTCCAGTCTCATCAGCAGCGTCTCCAACTCCTCCTCTGACTGAGCAGCTATTACCAAGTCATCAGCATACATAACGTGGTTGAGCAATAGGGAGCCATCCCTTGACCGCACCCGGGCATCGATTAGCCTCCCATTATATCTGTACCATATGGAGATTCCCCCGGTACAGCTATTGAAGGCTTCACGAACTACGTGGTCAAAATAGATGTTAAATAATGTGGGAGCCAGAGGACATCCCTGTCGCACCCCAAGGTGTACAGGGAATGGCTCTGACTCCCGGCCACGTAGTTTTACCCGGGCCCGCTCACCATCATGAAGGTCCTTAATGATCGTGAGCAGAGGGTCAGGTACTCCAAAAGCACGAAGAACGACCCAGAGCCCAGGCCTACTGATGGTATCATAGGCCTTGACCAGGTCAATAAAGCAGAGATGTAGGTCTTGTTGGAATTCCCTACACCTCTGCTGTAGCAGACGGACAGAAAATATGGCATCTGTGCACACTAACACACACTAACACACACACACTAACACACACACTAACACACACACACTGACACAGACACTGACACACACACTAACACACACACTAACACACACACTAACACACACACTAACACACACACACTAACACACACTGACACACACACTAACACACACACTAACACACACACATTAACACACACACTAACACACACACTAACACACACACACTAACACACACTAACACACACACACTAACACACACACACACACTAACACACACACACTAACACACACTAACACACACACACTAACACACACACACTGACACACACACAAGGGGGGTGGGAGGGGTCACCTACAGGTGCTCCCCCCCGCCCCTCCCTCCTCTTCCTCTCCACTCGCTAGGAGCTACTGGCGCGGTTCCAGGATTCCCTCCACGCAGCCTCCATCTGCCCTGCGGCCAAGGGGGGTGGTGTTGGGGTGGGTGGGGTGGGTTAGGGTCTCCCCAATCCTCCACCCCTCGCGCCTCCTCCCCCCTTCCAACCCCTCTCTCTCTCATCTGTCCCTACCGCCAAACCCCAGTGCCGCAAGGGACTCTCGGCTCATGGGTTCGATCCCGACCCTGACGCCTGCTGCTGTATATTTGGAGTTTGCGGTGTCTCTCTCTCTCTCTCATCATCATGATGGCTAGGATATCTCGCCTGGTATGTTCGATCCCGACCCTGACGCCTGCTGCTGTATATGTGGAGTTTGCGGTGTCTCTCTCTCTCATCAGCACGATGGCTAGGAGATGTTAACTACCTCGCCTGGTATGGAGGAGGTCGTGGGTTCGATCCCGACCCTGACGCCTGCTGCTGCTGTATATTTGGAGTTTGCGGTGTCTCTCCCTGTCTCTCTCTCTTCCCGTGGTCGCGTGGATTTTTCTCCGGGTTCTCCGGTCTTTTCTCTCCACATGTAGAAATTAACGTCACGCGTTTAGAGTATTTCGACCACTGCTATGAATTTGCACTCCATGATGAGCCACATTCTTCGAGCTATCATTTGTTGATAGCCAGGTTGCTTCTGCAAAATAAGCTGTAAAAAAGCTCAGTGGGCCTTAGCTGGTAAAATAACAAAAATTTTTATTTCATTTTTAGGACCCGGAGTTCGAACCCTAACCCAGGTGGATAGCAGTGATTGTCCCTCCACTGCCGACGTGGAATGCATGGCTCTGTGTGCCGTTCATTGTCACCCTTTCACGTTGAACTGGGGCTCCCCGTTAGTGTGCACGGAGTGCTCGTGCCAATGACACATCTGGCAAATCCCAGCAGCATCTGTTTCACGAGCGTCTGACCCTGCTGACGAGACGCACACAGTCTAAACGGGTCGGGGAGTGCTCTTTGCTCGCTCAAACAAATCGCGGCTTGACAACATTTGTCAGCGAGGGGCTGATGGACGAGACCGCGGCACGGCAAAAAACCAACGTGACAAGGAAGAGAGGTTTTCTTGTGTTCGCGTTTGCTGACAAAACCAAAACAGCCCCTCGATATTGCGAGAGCCGCAATTCACCGTGGTGGCGAATACGAGAGGGCGATCGTTCGTTAGCACGTAGCGCGTCATGAAGCGCGGGTTTTTGCCGTGCCCTGGACTCGACAGAGCGACGGGTCTCTCTGCTCGTGGGTCATCTCGTACTAGTGGCCGACACTGTCGGCTGTTCCATCCTCACCGTTTCCAAAGTTCAACCTGAACGGAGTTCAACATTGTGGCCACGTATTCACGTTCATCATTACCACCACCACCATCACCACCGTCGGCGTCACCGCGATCATTATTTAGACTGGAGGAATCCGATGAGCTCTGATGCTCTTTTTTTGTTTGTAAGGATGTTGAGCTTCTTTCGCACCGTACGTAGCCAACCGTACTAATCGGAGGTTGCGCCGGGGAAGGACAACAAACTCAACAAAATGTGATGTCCAGGAGGGTCATCATCAGCCAAGGTCAATCCACTGCTGGCTGGATGAAAGCCTCCGCCAACCCGCCACCATCTCTCGCAGTCACCCGACCACCAGAACACCAATCTGCCTTCTTCGTTTCCTTAGGTGCTGTGTCTCCCCGTAATATTTTTTTGACCATCGATCATCATCGACCATCGACCCTGCTGGTCATATTATTGGTATTTCCCTCGCTCTGTGCGGTAGTAGTTGTAGTGGTAGATGCGTTCCAAAACAAAGGGGGCGCGCACAAAGTGAATCCGCACGAGGAGACAGCTGTCTGCCGAGTACACACACAGCCCACACACAGTGCACAGAGTACACACACAGCCCACACGCAGTACACACGCAGTACCCACACAGCCCACACACAGTGCACAGAGTACACACACAGCACACAGCCTACACACAGTACAAAGAGTACACACACAGCCCACACACAGTGCACAGAGTACACACACAGCCCACACGCAGTACACACGCAGTACACACACAGCCCACACGCAGTGCACAGAGTACACACACAGCACACAGCCCACACACAGTACAAAGAGTACACACACAGCCCACACACAGTGCACAGAGTACACACACAGCCCACACGCAGTACACACGCAGTACACACACAGCCCACATACAGTGCACAGAGTACACACAGCCCACACACAGTGCACAGAGTACACACACAGCCCACACGCAGTACACACGCAGTACACACACAGCACACAGCCCACAGACAGTGCACAGAGTACACACACAGCACACAGCCTACACACAGTACAAAGAGTACAGACACAGCCCACACACAGTGCACAGAGTACACACACAGCCCACACGCAGTACACACGCAGTACACACACAGCACACAGCCTACACACAGTACAGAGAGTACACACGCAGCCCACACATAGCACACACACAGTACACACACAGCACAGAGCCTACACGCAGTACACACACACAGCCCACACGCAGTACACACAGCACACACACAGCACACACAAGTACACACAGCACAGAGCACACATGCAGTACACACGCAGCACACGGTTGCCCCACGTCCGACGGCATAGCCTCCGCATAGCCGTGAATTCAAACCGCATATAGCGAATTTTGGGTCGAAATAGGCTACCGCGCATATAGTAGGCGACGTCGCACAAACCGAACCCGCCGAGAGCGAGTGAAGCCTGCACGTATGGTGCCCAGCCTACACACCCATACACACACCCATACACACACACCCACACACACCCACACACACACCCACACGATGTTTGTCTTACGTTTTCTCTTAAATTCCAGAGAAGTAATGGAATGTATTGCAGTTGCCACCTTTGGCCGATGCCATCCCCCCACCTCGTCGAGTTAGGTGGGGGCTGTGTGCTGTGGGGGGTCTCTCTCTCTGCGATGCCGTTTCGCGGTGTGCCGCCCCAATGCGCTGTTCGGCGTGATGTCCGACGTTCCGCTGCACGTGCCGGTAGCTGCTGCTGCCGTTGCTGCTGCTGGCGCTACTTCATCAGGAACTGAATCAAGCAGCTGAGCCAATCAGCGTCGAGAACCGGCTCCAGACATCACTAGGAGCCAGCAGCAGCAGGCAGCGCTCTGTAGAAGTGGAAATTCCACCTTCATATGGCCGGATCAGTCGTGGTATATATTGAGTTTAAGAAGAAAATCAGGAGGTCTTTAAATTAAACAATTTGTAATGGAGGAGCGGTGGCGTGGTGGTTGGCGCACCACTCTATGATCCCGGAGACCTGAGTTCGATTTCCGATCATCGCTATCTGATTACCAATGGCGGTAATCACTGCCCCACCCCCCCTCTCTTCAACAACCCGTACTGACCGGCGTGGTGAAGTATAGTCTAAAAGGCTTCCATGAGTATTGGACACGCACGAGTTGCGCTTCTACACACGTGTACACAAGACAAAGATCATCCAGATATCCTTCAACAGAGTGTTGGGGCAAGTGCTGTTAGCGAGCACCTACGAAGTTCGGCACGGCACACGAGGGGGTAGGTGGCCAGCACCACGCCCGGCTGCCTTTGTCTCCCCAGTGGAAATGTTTACACACAGCAACCAGGTACTCATTTGAGGCGGAGTCGACCTAGGGGAAGAGGCCCAGGACTGGGTTCAAATAATCGTCACTGGTGTTAGCCGCCGGGTTAGTAGCGTAGTGTAAACTAAAATTAAACTATTTTTTTACTTTAGCAGTTAAGGCCCACTGAGCTATATAGCTCTTGCTCAGAAGCGACCTGGCCACAAATGATAGCCCAATGAAGTGGCTTATTACGTGGAAATGTATAGCAGCCAAACACTCTAAAAACCCGTGGACCCGGAGAAAAAAAATCCACGTGGGGAGACCATGCAAAGTCCAAATTTACAGCAGTAGGCGTTAGGGTCGGGATCGAATCCACGATCTCCTGTATACCAGGAGAGGTAGTTAACATCCCCTAGCCACCGTGATGATGATGAGAGAGATAGACGCAATCTCCAAATTTACAGCAGTAGGCGTTAGGGTCGGGATCGAATCCACGACCTCCTGTATACCAGGCGAGGTAGTTAACATCTCTTAGCCACCGTGATGATGAAGCGTGCAGGGGCGCCTCTGCCGTCACTCACCTCTGCGGCCGCGATCACCGCAACCGCCGCTCCCAGGTTCTCGCGTCCCGCAGGTCTCACTCCCCAGGTCTCACTCCCCAGGTGTCACTCCACAGGCGTCACTCCACAGGCGTCACTCCCCAGGTGTCACTCCCCAGGCGTCACTCCCCAGGCGTCACTCCCCAGGCGTCACTCCCCAGGTCTCACTCCCCAGGTGTCACTCCCCAGGTCTCACTCCACAGGCGTCACTCCCCAGGCGTCACTCCCCAGGTGTCACTCCCCAGGCGTCACTCCCCAGGCGTCACTCCCCAGGTCTCACTCCCCAGGCGTCACTCCCAGGTCTCACTCCCCAGGCGTCACTCCCCAGGCGTCACTCCCCAGGCGTCACTCCCCAGGCGTCACTCCCCAGGTGTCACTCCCCAGGTCTCACTCCCCAGGTCTCACTCCCCAGGTGTCACTCCCCAGGTCTCACTCCCCAGGCGTCACTCCCCAGGCGTCACTCCCCAGGCGTCACTCCCCAGGCGTCACTCCCCAGGTCTCACTCCCCAGGTGTCACTCCCCAGGCGTCTCAACTTCGCAATGAGGAAGTTCTTCTCTTGTGTGTCTGTTCCTCGGCGCGGTGGCGCTGTGTCCATCACAGGCGTAGAGCGGGTGGCGCTGTGTCCATCACAGGCGTGGAGCGGGCGGAGTTGCTCGGGGCGTGTCGGTGACGCTGGCGACGCTGGCGATGCGAGTCGCGCACAGCTCCGAGCGCGCTCTGCTGTGCGCGAGCGCGCGAGTTGTTATACAGAGTTGAGCTGGGCCAGTGGTGGGGGGGGGGAGAGGAGGGGAGGGAGGTGGGGGGAGGGAGCCGCGGGGAGAGAGTGGAGGGAGAGGAGCGGTGGAAGGAGGTCTATGGATGGATGAGGTGGCCAGGGAACGGGCGGTGGCGGCGGAGGGCGAGGGGGGGTTGCGATTTGGGTGGTGGTTGGAGAAGTTCTGCGGAGGATGGGGGAGGTAAGAGCCTCCTGATGGAATTGTCTAGCGGAGGAGGAGGAGGAGGGTGACACGTGGAGGAGTAGGAGGATAACACGAGGAGGAGCAAGAGGAGGAGGGAGACACCAGGAGGAGGAAGACACGTGGAGGCGGAGGCGGAGGAAGACACGTAGAGGAAAGAGACAGGAGGAGGGTGACACGTGGAGGAGGAGGAAGACACGTGAGGGAAGAGGAGGAAGACACGTGGGGGAGAGAGACACGAGGAGCAGGAGGATGGAGACGAGGAGGGAGACACGAGGAGGAGGCTGATGGAGGACGAGGATGCAGGAGTAGTAGTATCGAAGAAGTAGACGTAGCAGAAGTCGTGGAGTAGAATAAGTAATATGTGGGTGGGGGCTTCGGAGAGGGTTGGGTCAGGGGTCTGGGGTAGGGGGGGCTGCAGGGAACCCGGGGAAGCCGTGACGCAGTGGAACGAGAGAGAGGGGGGGGGGAGGAAACTCGCTGTTTACGCGCTCGTGAATGCGGTGGAAACCCGGCTTCCCCATCTCCCTCTCCACCCCCCTCGCTCTCTCTCTCCCCCCGACTCTCTCGCTCTCTCCCCTACGATTCCAGCCTCGCCCAAACAAACCGCACTACCCCGCCCACACTCATCTTCACCACCCACCCCAAAGACAAAGATCCCCCGTGTGGCCTTCAACAGACTGTTGGGGCAAGTGCTGCTAGCGAGGAGCACCGATGAAGGCCGGAACGGTATCACGAGGGGGTGGGTGGCCAGCACCACGCCCGGCCGCCTTTGTCTCCCCAGTGGCGATTTTTACACAGAGCACCAGCGACTCCTTTAGAGGCTGAGTCGGCCGGGTTCAGATAATCGTCACTGGGTGTTGGCCGTGAGCGGGAATCGAACTCGGGTCGCGAAGTTGGCCACCCATCATCGATCCGCTCATCTCATTTCCATCTTCGTTTATTACACACCGTAACAGGTGCCAGTTTAAGGCTGAGTCCACCTTGGGGAGGCCCAAGACCGGTTCAGATAATCGTCACTGGGTGTTGGCCGTGAGCGGGAATCGAACTCGGGTAAGCCGGGTTCGTAGCGCAGCGTAGCGCTAACCGCTGCGCCACCGCTCCCCACAGCGCGCTAACCACCTCCCCCTCCAATCCCCCCGACTCTCCCGCCCCTCCAACATCTGCTGCGGGTTTCACTGCTCGAGTGTCAGGGCCGACCGTGGAATTCCGAGGCACTGCTTCGGCTCTCGCTTGCGGCGCTGTCTCAATGGAGCCTGCGCAGAGCCGCTGGGCTTAACGTTCAGCCCCCCCGTCCCCCCCCCCCCCCTCTCTCTGAGCCACGACCTCAGCAGCCGCGCTCAGCATGCCCGTGAGTGGAGTCTGAGCCACGCCACTGACCGAGCCGCTCACTCACCGCGGCCTTCAAGAGCCAGGGAGCGATCTTGATTTTAAGCTTTCGTGACTGCAGGAATCACGACGTTTCGATCGCAACAACAAGACGGTCGCTTGTTGTTGTTGTTGCGACCGAAACGTCGTGATCTCTTATTTTGTCTACCTAGGTGACTTTACGGAAAGAGCCAAAGAGTACTGGAGCGGCTCAAGCTCTCTGGCTGAGCGGCGAGCCAGAGAGCCTGAGCCGCGACGCGGAACGCGGTGCTCGACTCCAGCCCCCCGGGGCTCGCACGCTGAGCCGACCGAGGCCACGCGGACTCGCGGTGGTCACGGCGGTGACCCTCGGCTCAGCGGTGGGGCGACCGTGAACTCAGCACATCGGACCTCCCGCGTGGATGAAATGACTGCCGCTCCGTGGGGGAAGTGAACAGCTGGTGATGCTTATTGGTATCCCTAACCCCCGCCGTAGGAATGTGGAATCTGCGAGCACTGTATATAGTCGCTTTGATAGCCTCCAACCCTAACAGGATTGCGAGGTGAGATCCGATCATAGGTAAGATCCGATTGCGGGGTGAGATCGGATTGCTGGGGAGAGATCGGTCCCTTCTACCTCTGCACTTCACTAGGGGTCAAGATGGAATCCCCACGACCACTCCAATCCCCACGACCACTCCAATCCCCACGACCACTCCAATCCCCACGATCACTCCAATCCCCACGACCACTCCAATCCCCACGACCACTCCAATCCCCACGACCACTCCAATCCCCACGACCACTCCAATCCCCACGACCACTCCAATCCCCACGACCACTCCAATCCCCGCGACCACTCCAATCCCGGCCAACAACGCGGATGATGTTGGCGATTCTGCCGCTGCTGCTGCTGCGTTGGCAGCGACCTCCTCCTTCCCATCGTGGCCAGCCCGCAGAGTCTCAGCGATGCGCAGGTCGCCCCCGCTGCGAGATCTGGTGCAGTGCAGGGGCCTTCCTCCAGCAGTGGACAGAGCAGTGGGACAGACTTGTCTGGCTTGAGTGGCACGGGCTGCAGAAGACACGGGCTGTTGGGTGGGTGAAGTCGGTGGGTGACTGAGTGGGTGGGTGAATGGGTGCGCGTGTGAGTGAGCGAGTAGGTGAGTGTGTTGGTGAGTGGGTAAGTGAGTGCGTGTGTGTGGGCATGGGCAGAGGTAGTGTAGTCGTTAGCGCTACGCTGCGCTACGAATCAAGCGTCCCGAGTTCGATTACCGCTCACGGCCAACACCAGTGACGATTATCTGAACCCGTCCCGGGGCCTCCCTTAGGTCGACTCAGCCTACAATGAGTACCTGGTGCGATGTGTAAACATCGTCAGTGGGGAGCCAAATGCGGTCTGGCGTGGTGCTGGCCACCCACCCCCTCGTTTGCCGTGCCGGCCTTCCTACACTTACCTCTACAGTCTGTTCAGGCAACACTCGGGATCTTCGTCTGTGTTTTGTGATTGATAGTCGCTGGTAGAGTTTGTATGTTCTCCCCCTGTTCTCCTCTGGGTTCACCAGAACTTCCCCGAGTTAAGCACCACGACACACCATGTAACCGGTATCTGCCAAATCATCCCAATGCTTCAAAATCCCCCGTTCTAACCATTCAATGTCGTTCCCACACACACAGCAGCAGCAACAACATCGCCCTCTCCTCTACAAACTAGTCCTGAGACTCAGTGAGACTGTTCGATCCGTTCCTACTCGTTGGGTTGACCGGAGTGGTAGGTCGGTAGCACGCGACTCGCTGCAAGTAGTACGGAGGTATACGTGACGTGGTGTGCCGGGTGAATACAATTGTTGTGGCCCAGGTGGCCGGTGAGACTGGAGTGGTGGGCAGCACGTGACAAGAGTAGCCACGGCTCCAGCCACGACGGAGCAGTGGGCGTGGTTGGAGCAGTGGGCGTGGTTGGGGCAGTGGGCGTGGTTGGAGCAGTGGGCGTGGTTTTCCCGCGATGCAGGGCGTTCGGTTGGTGGATCGCGTAAAGAGTTGAACCTCCAAATACTCCGCGCGCGTTTGTATTGTTTGTCTCGTTTGTATTGTCTGTCTCGTTTGTATTGTCTGTCTCGTTTTTATTGTTTGTCTCGTTTGCATTGTCTGTCTCGTTTGTATTGTTTGTCTCGTTTGCATTGTCTGTCTCGTTTGTATTGTCTGTCTCGTTTGTATTGTCTGTCTCGTTTGTATTGTTTGTCTCGTTTGTATTGTCTGTCTCGTTTGTATTGTTTGTCTAGTGTGTATTGTCTGTCTCGTTTGTATTGTCTGTCTCGTTTGTATTGTCTGTCTCGTTTGTATTGTCTGTCTCGTTTGTATTGTCTGTCTCGTTTGTATTGTCTGTCTCGTTTGTATTGTCTGTCTCGTTTGTATTGTTTGTCTCGTTTGTATTGTCTGTCTCGTTTTTATTGTCTGTCTCGTTTGAATTGTCTGTCTCGTTTGTATTGTGTGTCTCCATAGTATTGTCTGTCTCGTTTGTATTGTTTGTCTCGTTTGTATTGTTTTTCTGGTTTTTATTGTCTGTCTCGTTTGTATTGTCTGTCTCGTTTGTATTGTTTGTCTAGTGTGTATTGTTTGTCTAGTTTGTATTGTTTATCTCGTTTGTATTGTCTATCTCGTTTGTATTGTCTGTCTCGTTTATTTTGTTTGTCTCCTTTGTATTGTTCTGTCTCCTTTGTATTGTTCGTCTCGTTTGTGTTGTCTGTCTCGTTTGTATTGTCTGTGTCGTTTGTATTGTCTGTCTCGTTTGTTTTGTCTGTCTCGTTTGTATTGTTTGTCTCGTTTGTATTGTTTGTCTCGTTTGTATTGTCTGTCTCGTTTGTATTGTCTGCCTCGTTTGTATTGTCTGTCTTGTTTGTATTGTTTGTCTTGTTTGTATTGTCTGTCTCGTATGTATTGTCTGTCTCGTTTGTATTGTCTGTCTCGTTTGTATTGTCTGTCTCGTTTGTA